TTTTTTTTTTAATGGAAATTACCAAGTCAAAATTTTGGTGAAAAAATTGGTAGCAGCTTGTCTCCATAGCCACACATTTTGTTTGCTCTTTGTTTTTGTCCCTAGAAATTTTGTTAAAAAATTATGGTTATGCGTTCAAATCCAGATGTTGTCAAAATTGTGACTTTTATGAATATTGTGTGCCTGTTTGCTCTTTGAAAGCACTATAATTGAACATCTGAGGACAGACATCATTACCTAAGGTGTAAAGACAGAATTCAGCGCTAAGAAACACACTGCAAGTAAGTACAATTTTGTGGACAAAAATGAGGATCTTGCTACAAAAACTTTGAAGAAAAAGGATTATTTAGCAAAAGATACAAGTAGGTATTATGACGATTGGCAATAAATTTTGTGTAATTTATTGAAATGAGCTCAAAGTTGATGCAATTTTTAAATGTTTCTTCACTTTAGTTTCAAAATTGTTACTTTTTCAACTAGTTTCTCAAAAACGATGCACAATACACTAATTTAATTGCATTCTTTCCGAGGTTCTTTCTCATTCATGTTTATTTTGTTTTCTTGTCGATTTCTTGCTAAAAATTAAGAATATTTAGCAAACCTGCATTACAAATTGCGTCTACATTTTAACGGGTCCTTGTTCTAACTTCCTGCTTGCGAACTACTCGTTTCCAAATTTCTAAAAACTGTTAGCGATACCGAATTTGTTTTTTTTTTGGTGTTTCGTCTCTAAATTTTATTAAACGATTTTTTGTGACATTGTCTTCAAATTAATTCAAAAAACCAGAACTGCCAACTTCTTTTATTAAAATTACCAGGAATGAATTTACTAGTGGTGCCAACGTTAAGACTCTTTGGCATTTCCATTAAAAAAAAACAGACTTTATGTATCTAACGAAGTTACAAAATTAAGTAACTAAAAAAATACTTTCTTCTTCATAAATAGAGCATTTTAGTTTAATTTGTCTCATAAACAAGGCAAAACAAAGTAGTAATAATAAAAATTGGACAATTTTAAATGTAAGACATTAACTTTTGGCATTCTATTTGCTATTTTCAAAATTTGTATACTGTAAATAAGGTTTTCATCAAGGATGACAATGTTAGTTTTAATTTTTAAAATTCAAATGGTGTTACAATAAAATATTGTAATTATTTCTGTCTACAAAACTTAAATTCATTGTTTTGAAGTAGTTTTATACTCTACGACACTGATTCGTAATATTTGAATGACATTTTACAAACTTCAGTTTCAAGGCATTTAACAACAACAAAATTTTGTATTTGTCAAAGTGTCTTAGTTTTCAACGGCCGCAACTGTACATAATACCTTAATTTAAACATGGATATATAGATTTTGAAAAATGAAAATTTGCGAAGGCAACAAAAGGGTCGTAAATTAAAATACATACTTACATATTTCCAATCGTATACTTGATGATTTTAAAGTATGTGCAAATATTTTAACAGGTGATAGCAGAACTTAAAAAAGGTCAAAATAACTAAACTTGCCTTATACGAATGTTTTGAAATTCGGTGCTATTTTTAACAAAAAAATAATGTTACTGTTTTATGATTGTTTAAATGAGAACATTTTTTTGTGTCTGTTTTTGCTAATTTTAACAATTTTTTTTTAAACAATGTAATAAATTTTGAAGACCTAACCTCAGAGATCATATTTGTTTACAATTTTAGTTGGTGTAATTAAAGACTGTCCCGCAAATTTAAATTTATTCCACAAACTCCCTGTATCTCAAAAATCATAAACATTTAGATGAGGCAAGTAGACTTATTTTAACTTCTTTCTACTATCACCTGTTGAAATATTTGCACATTAAAATCATCCTGTATGTTTTTGTAATTAAAACCAATTTCTTATTATCAAGCAGTGCAGATTTAATCTACTTTAAAGCTAAAAATTTAAGCGCAATAAAAGAATATTTATTATTTTGTACTTAATGTTAAAGAGTGCTTTTATCAACTAATTTCAGTAGATAAAGTAGTCTAGTCTATCGTCTAGTGAAAGAAAGTAAATTCTATTTACTGTTTATATTCAAGAAATTCTGGTAGGTGAGTACAAAATAAAACGAAATATTATACACGACGATAAAGATTGTTTATCTACTCGTGAAAAAAGTCCACTCGTGACTTCGTCACTCGTAAACTTAACATTTTTACTCGTAGATAAACAATTTCTTTATTGTCTTGTAAAATAAATGATTAGAATTATTCAAAAATAGCTATTTATATAAGTATCAAGTACACAAAATAGGGTTTTAGGGGAGGAATCGTAATTAATGACGAGACGACGTAGGAGCCGAGTCTTTAATGAGAGGAGTCACCTAAAACCTTTTGCGTACGTGGTGCATACAAGATTTCTTTGTTAAAGCTGACAAAACACGAATTCACAACTCTTACTAATTAAAAAAATTTCGTTACCATAGTAACCAATTTTATTTTTTAGTCCGCAAAAACTGTTTTTGGGGACTGAGTACCTAAAATAACCGTTTTGAGTACGATTTTATTGAGTCCGGAAAAGACTCATTTTAGGGACTCAAATGAGTCCGCAAAATAGCTATTTGTTGTTGTGTTGGATATTCAATGGTGTAAACATTTCACAAGAAAAATACTTTTAAATATCTTGTCTTGGATTTCCCCCAAATTCTGCTAAATTGTCAAAGAAAATACCTCTTTCGTCACATTTTTTTTTGTCTGTTTTGGGTAGTTTGAATATTAAAAATTTGCAGTGTTTTTTCAATTATTTAACACATATGCATGTATGTATCTACTTTGCTGGAGACAAGATGTGTGCTACCAACAACACACAATGATTATAGTTAAATACATTGATTTAACTATAACTAATAAGTAATAATATTAGTTATAGTTGAATAACTGTATGTTTATTGAACATTAAACAAATTATTCATAAAATTATTTTTCCACTGATAGAACAAAAGGAAAAAACCAAACCATCTTAAATTTTACACAAAATAGTACAAAAATCTTCGAATAGTTTCGAATCACGAATAGGTTGTACATTGTCATGGTGCGAGTGTTGCATTTGCATTGCAAAAAATTAAAAATGTGGGTAAGTGCAGCTTGCGGCGGATGCATTGCCCCCTCGTTCATTACCGGATCCCTGGGTGTGCACATTTATCTCTCTGGCTAGTCGGCTAATTGTCCGCGGTTGACTTTTCTAATAAAAGCTTAATTGCACAAAGAAGGGCACCAGCGGCCATTTATCTCCGCTTATTTATCGTGTATCGGTTAAATAATGGTCCGGCCTAATGGCAATATTAATGTTAGGAGCTGCGACCGAGACATGCATGCGATTTACTGGCCAATTTGCATATTATGCCGGTCTTTTGCGTTAAGGCTATATTACTCAGTCAAGCATTTTGATTGAACATGTGTCTTTGCTTCATTTATTTATTGCATCGAGTCGTGCACCATTTCGCATTTCTTTTGCTTTCTTCTTGCGCTGCAAGGAGATTTTTAATCGGTTTTGGTGTCAAGGCGATCGCTGCATTTAATGCCTACATAAAGCGGTTCTAAGTATGCGCCACTCCGAGAATAAAGCTATAACTTTCGAATTTTTGTCATTTAATCACTGACGTAATCTAGGTTTTCGAGGGATTTTTACACGTTTTGCGTCAAATATTAATTGATCAAGAATGTATGGGAAAAACAATATTGCAACATGTTTGGTGAAATAACTGCAAAAAATGCAGGTCACACAAACACAAAACCGGTGAAGTTTTGGAAAAATTAGCTTGCTCAAGAAACTCTTTTTGCTTATCAGCAAATATTGCCAAAAATTAGAAAAAAAACCTACGAGTATTTTATATTATTTTATAGAATAGTTGATATTAAATTCTAGAATTTCTAACTAAAAAATAAATATGTTGATGCATACAGGGTAATAAATTAGCATTAGATAAAATAAAAGTATTAAAATAAAACTAAATTGTTTAAGTATGCTTTGTGATATTCGCTATCTAATATCTTTTCAACATTTTAAAGCAAATGTTTTTCTTAAACTTCACGCATCAAAATTATCCAAAAAATCTTGTAGCAGTAGAAAGCGTTATAAAACGCTCCAGAAATTACTCTTGTTAGGGTTTCTTAAATTGAGAGCACCTTACAAACTCCGAAACAAAATTTTTAAAGAGTGATTTTGTTGCTGACGGAATCCTGCAAGTGGTTCTATGGAATTGTCGTTAAGCAAAAGTATTCTCAGGAAACCTATTGGAATGTTGTTAAACACTAGTCGAAGATGGAATTTCCTGTGTTGCGGTAAAAATCGCCTCGGTACGAAGAAATTTGTTCATAAGCAAGACAGATAATCGTGACGTACGTAATTAAAAGAACGACCTTGATGCATTATGGCATAGCAATTAAAAGATTGCAACCGAAAAAGTAAAACTCGACATAGACCAATCCATTTACATAATTCTCATTTCGACATAAATAATAAAAAACCCACGCAGATCTGACGGATAAAATTCAACAATGGGTCCCATGGCAAGAAAAAATTAATTAAAACAATATAACGTTTCGAAACGGCGATGTATTCTCAAGCTCTTGCCAGCAGCTTTAATTTAATTCAGACTGTTTAATTCAATTAGGCAAATTTTAAAATCACACTGGTAATTACAGAAGTTATATAATTTAACCCCGGACAAACTTTTTTCAAGTGGGAATTTTGAAGACATGACTTGAAGTTTTCCAATAAACGGATCTAATAATTTCTGTTTCAGTCAAGCCATAATCGATTTGCCATTCATCTAACAAGGAAAATAAAATCATATCGCTTTTTATTCGCTGCGGGCAAGAACACTTTTCTAATCCATTATCAAACGTGACAAGAACTCTCTAAGCAGAGTAGGCGCTAACTCAATGCAACCTATGTCAATAAAATCCTTGATCACAAAGGTGTGTGTCTATATCTACGCAAAATTGCAGTCAACAATACCCCGATTTAGTGCTAGACTTACACTTCTATCAAAGAAATTCGACGATAAGTCACTAGAATCACCCAAAATGTGCACTTTCACAACCGATCACTGAAGACTTCAACGTACGATCAAGCGCAAAACCCACAACAAAAGTCATCAGAGCTATTTAATTATTGTAGATATAGTCATTATTTGCTACAATTGCTAAGTTCACTGCTCTCCGTCGACTCCGCGACTGCTACGACGCGGTTCCTGCAAGAGATGTGAATGCGAAAAACCAGCGCCGTTGTGGAGAAGTGAGCAACTAAAGGCCGGTTGTTGGCCGAGTCCGGGCGCCCGGATTTTGGCGGCAAAAATCATTTAACTAAATTTAACTATACTCTAAATTTATGTATGCTAAATGTAACAACGTTACTGCAATAAAAATTTAAATCAATCCAAAAAATTACTTATCTTATTAACAAATTATGATGTATCTGAACATTAATAGGTATTTTGATTCTTTAGACTGATTTTGTTTACAGGCAATGTACGTAACTAATACACAATTTTTTAACATTCTAGGAAAAGTTTTTTTTAATTAATTACTTTACTCTTACTCAAGTTAGCTACCTACACACTTTTCATCATAGCCGTCTCGATAGAAATAATTGTTTTTTCGCCTGGGCGTTTTTTGAGTTCAACTGATATCCGTTGGAGCTTTAAGCTGAAGAAATTTTTTGACACATCCAGTTTTTTAGTTTAAAGGGTTATTATATCATATTATTATCAATTATCTCTTGCGTATCTTGTTTTGTTGTATCTTTCCTTCTCAACTTATATTAATTGCGTTATTTTTCGTTAATAATTAAAAACCATTGAGTTTTTATTTTTTTTAACTCAGAATCACTGTTCCAATGCATTTTTTACGAAATGCCCAAGTGGGATATTGATGGGAGGCGGTGATTTTTATTTTGGGTAAAGGTAATAGAAATACGAGTAGAAAATGTAGTCAAATGGTTCAAATTCAGCCAAACTATGTTAAAAAGTTACAGTCATATAAATGAAGATAAGTAAATAGGCTTGTAACGTAATTCTAAACATAAGACACAAAACTATACCTACATTAAAAATTTTATTTTTAATTCTGCAATTATTTTTATAATTTTTTCTTTCCTACTTTCCGTTTTTTTATTAAGGTACATTTTTGATAACACGCAGCTTTCTTCTTCATAATTGTAGATTGGACTATTTTCCATTCATAATCAGTAGTTGCAGCTATTTTTGATAGGTACAATTCTCAGAGCTTTCACGTCATTCCGTTTACGATAAACTTTCAAAAACCTTCCATTTAAACCGGAAAAGACATCATTGGCTCTTCCCAAATATCGCCAGTAATTAAAAATAAACGTTAGATAATTACAATTAAATAAGTACATACGTACATACACGTTACCATTCCATTTAAGTCGGTTACTTTCTATAGTGTCAAGTTTTAATTAATAATATCGTTGCAAGGACAAATCAAAGAAGTCGGCAATTTTATAAATTGCATTTTTTACCTTGCTAATGTCGCGATAGGTTGAAAACAAAACACAACCTTCTACGGTGCAATTAATCAATTTTCATGCGAATTTTCAGCAAGAGAAACAGAGGAAGGAAACAGTTAAGGCTGATGCGCGTTTATTTGGTAGGAACTTTCTCTTGGCAAGGTCGGGAATTAAGCAAATTTTATGGGACGCTTAAAATAAATTTACTTGTTGCTCAATATTCCAAAAACGAATATTAAAAATTAAGCGAAATAATGGTTTTGATTAGAGGCAAGTTTCCATATTTGTTAAACAAAATTACATTTTGGGTAAAATAAGAGCAACAGTGTCCGCGAAAATCTCATTAAGATAGTATCGAATTAAATATTGATGAGGCAATCGGTAGTGCTGTATAACTGGCACAAAGCAATTATCTAAATTAATTTGTGTTGCTATTATCAGCGTGACGAATAATCGATTAAAAGTGAAACCGAAACTGTTTTACTGATGTAGGAAAAACCTAGAAGTTCCTACCAGTGAGCGTCATCAATTATCGCGCACTTAACGATGTAAGAAAATGCATGGTTAATGGAATGTAAAACATTTTCCTCGGCGGTAATAAGAGAAGTTACAGTGCAATATTGCTTTAATAAATGGTGTTACCGCGCGCAAGTGAAATTATATATAAAAAGATACCTCATTTAATTTACCGTAAAGGTCATGTTTAGTAACTGAGAGCTATGTCTGCCAATTACAGGTCCCTTTTTCTATATCCATATACGAACATCGACACCCAGCACTGATTACCCCAGCTAACTGTTACCGATAAATGAGAGTTCGCGAAGTCCTAGGTGTGACCCGCAGGTTTATCAGCGCCGACCTTACCCATCTAATGAAACGCGAAGTTATTATGGCCGATGGGGTTTCTGCCATTAATTTTTATGTCTTTTTGATGTTATTGAACTTTTCATGAGACCGCACACAAAGCCAGCGACACTCAATCGACCAATTACACCGCATTATGCCCATAATTTGGCAGGAATTTTACTTAAAAACCGCGAACGCCGCTAATGAGATTTGTGCGAAGATTTTCATCTCGGGCCCACCCTCTGTTCAAGGCTGTAATTGTAACGTGTTATAAAAATAAAAAACTATAAGAGATGAACGATGCATAGTCACGTTCACCAGACTCGGACGCAGCGGGGTAGTCCACGTTTTGTGCTGAAAAAAACTCCTGAAACGAACTCAATTTATTTTAATTTCGCTTCTTCGCTCTCATATCTGCAGGTTGTTTTGTGAAAAGACAGCTCTACCATCACCGTGTGGTTTATGGCCGCGATAAATATGTCCGAAGCGGATGCACCTGCAGCTGCTACACCTTTCAGGGGCTTTGCTTTTCTTTTTCGATATGCGGATGAAATATTTGCAAGAGACGCGATAGCAACCGGTTATTGATGTGTATTACTGGCTGCCTCTCAACTAACAAATTTTTCGTATAAAGAGTTGCATACCTTTCCTAAAATAATATTCAATACATCATACACAATAAAATCTAATATAAATTTCGTGACTCATTATTGGGGTTAAAATATCTGCGAATGATTTTTTAAAATTTACATTGTTGTGAAAAACCTATTGTGGAAAAATCAGATATGTCAAAATTGTCAAAATGACACATCAAACTTTTAAAAACATGTAAGACTTTTGAGGTTTCTTTTTGTATTGTGAAGCAGCGAAGGTGTATATTTTATACTTAATATTTTTAACTAAAGAGACTATTTACAAGTCAAAATGGATGCGGCAAATACATTTGAGGAAAAAGGAAATAATGCGGTGAGACTTAACCTCTATCGTGTCATGTTTACATGTTTTTAAATTATAGTGCGGTTGTTTAATGCTCAACAATAGAATTTATCCAGTATTTGAAGGGCTAAACACCATAGGGAGGAACCCGGAAGCTGTTATCAACATAAAAAATTCGGTAAAACAACTACGCACTTCCAATTTTCCTAACCTTAAATTTTGGATTTTGTAGAATGTTAGTAAACAACATGCTATCATTACCATAATCGACGCAGACACACATTTTATCAGCGACTTAAAATCAGTAAATGGTACATTTTTGGATAGTACGAAATTAAGTCATCTAAAATTGTATTCTTTAAAAAATGGGGCTTCAATCAAGTTTGGGGATGTTTTTTGTACATACAAAAAACTCGACAGTCATGAACACATCACAAATAACCACGATGAGACTCAAGATTTTAGTGAGCCTTTTTACTCTTCAAATACTCAGCAAGTCGAGGTGCCAACCCTACCAGAAGGAATTAATTTTAACGAAATGCCGACTCAAATTTTCGAAGAAAGGGCAATCGGTATTAATGAACTGCCTACTCAAATTCATAATTTTGACGAAGTCGGTGATGACAGTAATGATTCAATTGATTTTATAACAATGCAAAAAACAACAGAATCACAAACCCTGGCGAATTCGCCCCCAGAACCGTCTACACAGGTTACATTGAATTCTGGTCGTTCTGTAGAGTCAGACGATGCGCCGGCTATATGTCCTGTTAGGAAGGGGACTCGTAATATAATTGAATCTGATTCACAATCGTCTTCACAGGTTAAACAGAATTCTGATCTTTCAGCAGGGTCAGATGATGAATCGGTTATATGTCCAGTCAGAAAAAAGGCTTCTAATGTTATTGAATCTGATTCAGATACAGAAGAATATGAACCGAATCAAAATAAGTCAAAATACGTTCTAAGCGATGACTCTGAAACTGAAATCGAAGATAATGCTACTGATAATGTGGAAAATTTAAATAAAAAGATAAAGGATGACTCTGTAATGGATAGTTTAGTTTTATCAGTTGATGAATCTGTTGAAAAAAATACGGAGAAAAAAGAAGAATCAACGGTTCAGAGTTCATCTGAAAATAAGGAAAAAGATTTTAAGGTAAATGAGAAAATATTGGATCAAGAAACTCGTACTGGCGAACAAATGAAAAATCAAACTTTACAAAATGAATTTGAAGAAAATAAGCAAGATGTAGAATATCTTGTGTTAGTTAAAAAAGACGCAGTAGAGGAATCTATTAATGAAAAACACTTCTCTAAATTAATGGAAATTGAAGAAATAACTGAATTGCCAATAGATAAGGGTGGCTGCGCTGCTACTAAAGATAAAGATAGTGAAGCTACGGTAAGTGATCTTGGTGAAGAATCGGAAGATCTTAAATTAAAATTAAATTCAGGCGAAGAGGGGAGTAGTAAGGAACAGGAAAAGAGACAAAATGAGGAAGTTATAGATGAATTTGTTCAGTCAATTCCTCAAAATAATTTTGACTTTGTTGAAGAAAAAAGTAAAATTGTAGATGTGAATGATCAGGAAACGGAAGATTTATATATTCAGCCTACTCAACAAATGGAAGCAAATACAGTGTCTGATCAAATGGTGTCCACTGGTGTTGAAGATGACGAACTATATCTTCAACCTACTCAAACGTTGGAGTTATTAGAGCAAATGGATGAAAATCCGGATTTGGAAGAACAAATTGAGCATTCTATTAGTAATTTAGAGACATCCCCAATTTGCAAAAATACAGAAGCCCAAGATCCGCCTCCAAATGCTTTGGAATCTCTACCTAACGATAACAAGAGGAGTAATTTGCTTGAGAAATCTTCAACTTCGACAAATTTAAAAGACGATATCTTTCTTCCTCCTACTCAAGCTTTGGAATCTTTACATGGTGGGGAAGCTTCTGAACAACCTAAAGATGTTTTTGCGATACCGAAACAAAAAGACGATGATGCGTTTTTACCGCCTACTCAAGCTTTGGAAAGTATGCTAAGTGAAGGCTTATCATCTAAGAAACAAACGACAGAAACGTTGGGTAATAAGTTAGTAGTGGGCGGTGACTACAGTTTTATTATTCAACCAACTCAAGCTCTTGAAGAAATACATAGCGATCCTAACAATTTGCATTTCAATAAAGTCGAAGATCAGTTGGCGGAAATATTTGCCAGTCAAAGTATAATGGCCACCCAGCAGCTTGTTAGTGTTTTGGAAACAACCCACGAGGATATTATTGATGATAGTATGTATGAGGAACCGGACAAGTTGGTTAGAAGAAGTGTATTTAGTATGAGTTTTAAACAGTCTAAACCGCTTAGTGATGAAGCGGTGAAAGAAATTTTAGGAGAAGGGATGGAAAAGGAAACACAGGAAATACAAAATGTGCATAATGAGAATGTTAAAACTTATACGAGGAATAAGTTTTTGATTGGAAAAGAACCAATTGAGAAGAAAATGTTGGAAGAAGCCACATCTGGTTTTGATACAGAATCGATTAGTAGCTCTTCACAAGCAAGTCAAAGTAAGGAAGATAATAGTGGGAAAAGTGGGAAGGGAGGAAAAAGTAAACAGGACTTATCAATAAAAGATGATGAAGCAGAGGAATGTAGAAACAAAGAAAAAATTAATTTTGACAAGGATTCTATTATGACTAGAAGTGGAAGGAGAAAACAAGCACTAAATACTCCAGATGCGGATGAAGCGAAAAACAATGAACAGGACAATATTGAAAATAAAGCTGATGTGTCATTGACTGAACCTGGAATTGTAGATGCAAAAAAGGCAAAAGAGGACGATCATACTAAAAATATATTGAAGCAAAATAATAGTGCCTTTAGCAACTCGACTAATGATGTGGTGAAAGAAAGTAAAAAAAAGGGTAGGCCCAAAAAGAAAGACGATTTAAGTAATGAAAAATTAACTCTTGTGGAGGCTAAAGGTGATGACAAGGAGGATGTTATAGGAATTACTCCTAAAGGTCGAAAAAGAAAAGGTGGGAGAGAACAGTGTAATGAATCTCAAAGTAGTAATAGTGATGAACAAAAAACAATAACAAGAAAGAGGAAAAACGAAGAAACTCTCACCTCTACAGAAACATCTAATAAATTGAGAAAGAAAGTAACTACCAATACTGCGGAAGGTAGAGAATCACCTCTCAATAAAAATCTTAAAGTTCAACCTGCTACAAGTACTCCAAGGAAACGAGTTCGTAGAGGAACACATGATTCAGAAGACGCTTTTGAAACCAAAATTCCGAAATGTGAAGAATCTGCTATAAAGAAGCTTCCTGCAACATCAAGAATGAATACAAGGAGAGGAAAAGTAGAAAAAGACGAAGATGTAGTGAGTATTTCATCAACTTCCAGTAATCAGGAGCAAACAGTTGATAACAAAAGGCATAAATCTGACGAATCTATTAAGAAGGAAAAAGCTGAATCTTCAAAAATGACTACTAGAAGCGGGAGATTGGGAAAAGAGGATGATGTTGTCAGTATCTCGTCATCTTCAAGTAATCGGGGACAAGCTGTTGATGTCAAAAGCCCTAAATTTGATGAATCTGCTACGAAGAAAACGTCAAAACTATCCAAAATGACTACTAGAGGAGTAAAAATAAAAAAAGAGGACGATGTAATGAGTATCTCGTCAACTTCAAGTAGTCAAGATCAAACAGTTAAAGAGCCAACAAAGAGGGGAAGACGTTTGAGTGCAAATAGTAGACGATTGAAGAGGGAGGAAGAAGAACAAGAGAAAAAAAATAAAACTATAACTAAACAGAACTTAATCGAAACCTCTTCACCAACAACATCAGGAAGTCCACAGAGATCCAAAAGGCAGTTAAAACCTAAAGTAGTGTTTACAATGATGGATAATCCTGAGTTAGAATCTTTAATTCGTCATTTAGGTATGCGAGTTGTGCAATTTTATTGTATTCTTTTAATTCATCATTTGATTTAAGGCGGTAGTATTGTGGAAACAGTTGACGCCTGCACCGTGCTGGTCACGGAAAATGTTAAGCGTTCACAAAAACTGCTCTGTGCAGTGGCTCAAAGCAAACCCATTTGTTCGCCACAATGGTTACATGCATGCAAAAAAGCATCTGTATTTGTCGGTATGTTCCATTCACGCATATAGGACTATTCAACTTGAAGCTTGTTTTTGTAGATCCTTGGGATTATATTCTTGAAGACAAAGAAGCCGAGAAGAAATGGAAATTTTCGTTACGCGAATCGTTAAATCGCAGTAGCAAGAAGAAATTATTAGAGAACCATTCATTCCAGTTGATTGTGAATAATGCAGCAGATGTATTGAAGGGTTTGTAATTCAAATATTTGTCTTTTTGGCTATGATATTTGTTCTTTTTTAGGCGCCATTGAAGCATGTGGAGGCAAATGTTTAAGAAGTTTAGCAAAAGCTGATTCTGATAATTTATATATTGTGTCATGTGAAGAGAATAAGAGTAAATGTAATAAGATCGTGAAACAGAATCCGAAGATTAAAATTGTTACGGCTGAAGCCATTTTTGATGGTACTCTGCGACAAGAATTTAAATTTAATGATCATGTACTGATGTAATCTGCATTTTATTTTGAAAATAAACAATATACATAAAATATTTAAAAATAATTGTTGGACAGCCCCATCTTTTAACTAAGAAGTCAGTTAGTTTTATAGCAGACACCTGTAGAACGTTATTATGCGTCGTTTGGCTTATTATCACGAGATGTCGCCGTCTATTATAATTCGAAAAAATATTATGTTTCCTAATTATTACAAATATCACAGTACATTGTAGGTACAAACTTGAAAGACCACAAAAACATCCGATAAACCAATACATGTAACTAAAAATTTTTTTCAATAAATTTTCAAAACACATGAATTGATTATTTTGACCTGTACATCAACGTTGCTTAGCGACCGACGTCTCCGTCGAAGTAAACAAATATGAAAATGGCACCGGTCGAGGTACGTAGAATCTGTTATAAAACACAAACGACTTCTTATTTTTCCACAGAATCCATCTACCGACAACAAAAACACAATCATTTTCAACAATTCAAAAAAAGAATTGTTTAAACTCAATGAAAATTACAAAGCTTTTCAGCGAAAGCTAAAAATTTATTGGAAAATGATAATGTAAGTAATAAATAAGAATTTAGGAGTTTTTCTAAACAAATTTGTAGAAATAAAGAAGAGATAAGTTCGCAGTTGTTACAGAATTGTACTTTACTGATTTTGCCAGGATGCCAGCAACCTTTCGAAGAGACCGAACTGAATTGTTTAAAATCATTTATCAAAGATGGAGGCCGAATTTTGGTGCTACTGGCTGAGAGTAACCACGAGGATGCCAGTAATACCAACATACTCTTAGAAGAATTCGGGATAATTCCAAATATGGGTGTGTTTTGTTTGAACTTTTATATTTTGTATTTGCGCCATACCTATAAAGAAAAACGCGACACTTTTGAAAATTTACTGTAAACGTTTCAGATTCCTTGATACGCACTCACTATTACAAATATTTTCACCCCAAGGAGTGTTTTATCGGCGACAGCTCCATAAATACCTCTCTAAATAGGGATAAAGTTAACATAAATCTCGTATATCCTTTCGGTTGCACGATGAACGTTAGCAAACCCAGTGTGGTGGCTTTCACAAGTGGATCTGCATCTTTCCCCGTGGATCGCCCCCTGGGTGCTTTATATTACGACCCGAGCAGCGGTGAGTGCGGGCAGAGGCATGGGCGGCATTCTCACTCAGTTTCTAGGGGGCCGTTTGGTGGCCGTGGGCTCCGGTCACATGTTCGCCGATAAGTACATCGACCAGGAAGCCAACGAAAAGTTCAGAGAACTTCTCTTCGACTTTCTCACAAATTCGCACAGCGTCAGGTTTGCCCCCTCGGATCACGATGACATCGACGTAAGTTCCATCTTTGAGATAAAACTGCAGGGGTGATGAGGCCTATATCTGAGTGATGTTTTGACGCCCCCTGTTTCAGATTTCCGACCAGCATAGTGTGCCAGACACGGCGGAGTTGGCCGAACGGCCCAAGCTTTGTCTGACCGACGCGATAAGTCATACTGTTTCCATAGATTACACCCAACTTTTTGACCATAAAACATACTCAATGAATACAAACTTGGGTAATTCTCTATGCTCGGCTCGCAATGTTCGAGCGATATTATTATTTACAATTTAATGTACAACACGACTCTTTGTTTTGCAGTTCCCGAAGCGCTCAAACTCTACGACGAATTGGGAGTGAAACATCAGCCCCTCAAGATCATTACGCCTAAGTTTGAAGCGCCACTGCCGCCCCTCCAGGCGGCGGTACGTGAAACTGAATACTCATTAATTTGATTAGGTCACAGGCATGGCCAACACCGCATGTCATAATAATGAGAAAAACACATTTAACTTTTTCGAACTGTTCTATTAATTTTCGTCACCACATCGATGATGTAATTAACTGGCGTAATTCACTAAAATCAAAAAAATCCAATAAGTATCTACTTTCTAATAAAATGTCTTTCGACGTCTTTCGAATATAGATAAATATTGTTTTTGCTTTGTTCACTAGTAGATGATGATGCAACGCAAAACATTGCTGTCAGGATAAATCTCAATTTTCAACCATCAAATTTTATAAAGTAGTTACAAAAAATGTACTCATCTTTATTTTAGTAATTTTGAAATTTGTTTTTAATAATTTTAATTCTTAATTTTATACTTATAAAAGCTTATGACAAAGTTTAATTATTTTTTTTTAATTCCGATAGTTTCTAAAACAAAGCTTATAACTTATAAATCTTATAATTATTCACTGACTTTCGAGTTCTAGGACAGGTGTATTAATGATCAAAATTTATATTTTTTAAACAAAACTTGTGTATTTGTGTGTCCATTATTCATTCAAAATAATACGCCCTAAGCAAAACACACATATCGTAACAACATATTTATTTCGTATCTATTCTATGATTAAATACATGCATCAATCGTCAGCTTAACGATTAATTAGTATAACTTGCTTATAACATTTTGTTGTTGGCGGGTTGATGCGACTGTGCGACTTCTTCAGCAAGGTTCCGAAAAATTATTTTGTTAAACATTTCACATAATCACTTTCTTATAACTTTCCTTTCTCAGTCCTCGTCATTAATTCTTGCAACAACTCTCTTGTTTGATTTGGTTAAGTCGCCGAAGCGTGGGTGTCGGGTGTACTTAGTCGCCGAAGAGGGTCCGTCCTTGTCTAACGTCAAACTAACTTGCAGGTATTTCCCCCATCATTCCGCGAGTTGCCGCCTCCTCCTTTAGAACTGTTCGACTTAGATGAAGCGTTCAGTTCCGTATTCTCAAAGTTGGCCCAGTTTACGAACAAGTACACGATGACAGCGACCAAAATCGACGACGACGATCTGCAATTTTATATTAAAGAGTGCAGTAAAATTGTCAAAGTGGAAGGACAAATGGACGGGGCGGCCAGCATTCTTCATCACATGGGGGAGCAGATAGCGAAGTTTAAGAGTATCGATACGATAAAATGAATGTAAACCAAACAAAAAATGAAATAAAGATTGCACTTATTTCGGAATTCATGATAGTCCCTGTCAGTGGCATTGTGTTTTATTTTTCTTTAAGTTTTTAGAGGATTCCGCGCTTTCATCCCCCATATCGATGCAGACGTTGATAGCGAAGCGTTTTTTTATTATTATAGTTCCAGTGGAGCCTTGTTAACGTCGGAATAACCAGAAGTGAACCGGAGAAAATCCATAAACATAAACCTGTTGGATTAAACCGTTACAACGTCTAGTTGGATGACGTTCGTGGCGTATCCAGCTTCAGCGGTCCAGTAGCGACCTCTGACCTATCAACCCTTTCTATCTGGAACTACCCCAGCATCCCGACGTTGTAGTATTTCGGACTCAACCTGTTTGCAGAGCGCACAAGCGATCTGCGACCTTAAACACGACGCTCGTCAGCCACGATTTATCAACCGATGACGCCCCGGATCTATTCACATGCTGCGACCTTGTTTTGCGTTTTTAACCGTTTCCCGACTACCCGCTTTGTTGGCAATTATGTGTTATCGCACATCACGAAAAAATGCGGACAATTCGGGAGTTCGGGGAGTGGTAATAGACTCGCGTCGGTGAGGAAGTTAATGAAATCAAGCCAATATGTCCCAGCAGTAAACATTTCCAGGTGTTTAAAACTGCTACATCTTAATTTATTAAGAGTTCCTCTTAATTCATATCGCTAAATTTCAAATATATGCCGTGTTTAATTTTTAGGTAAGTAATTGAAATGTATGTACGGTTCGGGGGACGCGAAAAAGCGCAACGATTTAGTTAATCGATATTTTTTCTGCTTCTTCACGGAAATTAACAGCCACTTTTAAAAGCGAGAGACGTCGACTTGTGGTTGTTTTTCGAGTACGACGAGTTTCAATGTGAGGTTACTTTACTGAAACATTTGCAGCTTGCTTTTTACTGAGATGGCAAAAACTTATAAGTAAATGTTTAGAAATGTGAAGTTGCACTGTTTACCTATTTATTTTTAATGTAAACTATTTAACTCGTAATTTAATAAATTCGTATACTTGGTATACAGGTGTCCGGAAAAATACGTTAAAGATTTTGGGAGGTACATATAGTTTCCTTGGAAAAGTAAGAAAAATAGTTCTTATGAACTATATATGTTCAAAAATGTTTCCTGAAGGAGCTAGAGCGATAATTTAATCTTATACAGGGTGTTCGGTCCAAGGCTGATAACAACTCAACTTACTTCTTTTTTCAGGAAGAAAATATTTAAGTAATATTATTCATTCTTGGCTTTCTTAATAAATGTAGCAAATTTTTTTAGCACATCCGATGTTGCCGGAAATGCCACCAAATTTAGTTTTTCAAATGGAACACCTATGGTTTTTTTTTCTTCGAAACAATAATAATTGACATAAAAAATACAGTAACCACAGTTTATTACATTTTGTTTAACACAATACAATCAGAAAACATCTTAAATCTTAGATTTTTATAAGGAAATTGGTCGCGTAGCCTCATTTTTAATTTTAAAGGAAAGGTGTGAATAAAAAAATGCTTGGATACAGTTTAATTGTTGGTTTGACAAATCTAATTTGTAAGTTTTTGACAATTGGTAGACAAGTTTGAAATATTTTTCAAATGCAATAAAAACGAAGCAAAGGCTTAAAAAAAGTCAATAGTGTAGAGAAAAATATCCAAATAGAATTCACCAAAATCGTTGAAAATTCAGTCGAATTGAAAAACGACCAACATGACCATTTCTTATAAGAAAAAACCCAATCTTTGTTAGTGAAAAACAAGAAAAAAGAATCTTAATGTTTGGTCATCAGTCTCGAAGAATATCCAAGAGTTGCCAGAGAACTTTCTCATCATCATGCTATTTCTAATGATTAAACCGATTCTAAGAGAAAGATAACAAACACTATGTGAAATTTAAAAAAGAAAATGACAATTTACAATAAATGTTTAAACTGAAATTCGTTATTTTCAATACATAAATGGCATCGTTGTCGTACACTTGTAACTACCCGCAGTAAATAATCTTCATGAATGTTTGCACAAGCGTTTGTTATTCTGTCTTTTAGCTCTTGAATATTTTTGGGAGCATTTGGAAGATAAACCTGATCACCAACATAACCCAATAAAAAAAAATCTAGAGTTGATCTCGTAGGCCATCTAACGGGTCCACGTGTTCCAATCCACTGCTGTCCAAAAGTATTATTTAAAAAATTTGTGTTAATCCTAGCATTGTGCAGCGGTGCACCATCTTATTGGAAATTCATTTGTACATATTGGATTGCAGGAACGTGTTCTCTAAATGTTCTAATAAGTCTTGAGTGAGGAATTCATGATATRTATGGGCACTAAAATTACCATCGAAAAAGTAAGGTTCTATCAAACGATTTTCTAAAATACCACACCAAACGTTTACTTTAAATCGCTTTTGATGATTTTGTTTTCTGACGAGATGAGGATTATTTTCGGACCAATAATAATGAATTAATCTGTTAAACATTTCACTATTAGTGAAAGTCTTTTCATCAGACCACAGATTTTTTAGTTTTAAGAAGCGAACCTGTTCGTCTTAGTTGTTTTTCAATTCAACTAAACTTCCAACGATTTGGGTGAACTCTATTTTCTCTAAACTGTCTTTCAGCTTCCGCTCCATTTTTACTGCACTTGAAAAACACTTCAAGCTGATCTACCAATTCATCGTAATTAATATCATTCATTATTAGAGATCTCAATAAGATTTATTGACAAATTAAGCTTTGTCAAACTAACAGTTAAACGGTATCCATGCATGAATACCTTGACAAGTAAAATTCGCCTACGTTACAAAATTTACTAATGAAATTCTAAAACTTAAATTGTTTTCTGAGTGCATTATACAGGGTGCGCCAGAACTCGCGCCACAGAGAAAAATGCCATGTAAGGTAAGATACCAGGAGCATGGAAAAAATGTTAAAAAATTCTATCTATTAAAATTTCGAAGTAATAAGAGTTTTAAATTTTGCTCATTGACTCTATTTATTTCTGTTGGAAAAATAATTTTCCAAATTTTTTGCTACAGGCTATTAAAAGTGGAAACAAGGAAGATGTATCCTAAATTGTAACGCTGTTTAAGATTATTTGTGTTTTTTATTGGCAAAATTTTTGTACCTTTACTAAATAATTATAAAAAAACATATACAAGATCATCAGAGTTATTAAATAGACATAAAAAAATGTCAAATGTCAAAAAATAAATGTCAAAGTTTTTTTAACATTTTTTTCATGTTCCTGGTATCTTATGTTACATGGATGGCATTTTTCTCTGGGGCGCGAGTTCTGGCGCACCCTGTATAAAGTAAAATGTAATAAATAGTGGTTTACCGTATTCATGCCAATTATTATTGTTTCGAGCAAAAAAAACATAAGTGTTCCATTTGAAAAATTTGGTAGCAAAAAATTGATGCATTTACTAAGAAAGCCCGGAATGAATAATATTATTTGAAAAATAGTTAAAAAAAAAAGTAAGTTTAGGTGTTATCGGCCGGGGCGACTTGGACCGAACAGCCTGTATGTGAAAACTTTTTTCTCAAAAACGGTACGTCATACAAAAATATGACACAAACATTTTCTGAAGGAACTTAGCCAATAAATGCGAATGTGACAAACAAAATATATTATCAAAAAACCTCTTCCAAATCAAAATTTTTCGCTTTAAATAGATTAACCCTAATACCTCCGCTCCCTTAATTAGTGTACACGATTTTTCACACTCCATACAGTTTCAACACCAAGAAATTACTTCAGATGCAAACTTTTATAAATCTATGTCTACCAATTTCTGAGATAATTAAAAAATATACTTTTTTGTGTCTTCAGGAAGCTCTAACTCCCACAGGAAGCATTTCCGGACATAGGTCTGTATAGTAAATATTGTAAAAAAAATTGTAAAAAGTAACTACAACTATACAGGATGATTCTTAAATAGACCGACAAAATTTTATCCTTGGTGGTATCAAATGAGAACATACTGGAAAAAATATTTAAAAAATTCTTTGTTTAACCGTTCTCCAAATAACATTTATTTAAGTGATTTTCGAAGTAAAGCGTACGCCACTGATGTGTTAAATAGTAAATAGTACTAGCACAGGTAGTGGAAACCATGGTATTAATTTGATAAAAATGTACTTGATTATTGCAACAATTCATAAACGCCGTAAGTGGCACGGATTAAGGGGGTTTTGCCCCTAAAAGATATACACCTAAAAATTGTACAGTTTGCCTCCATTTATCGTTGTGAAGCTGTGATAAAATTTTGTCGGTCTATTTAAGAATCACCCTGTAGACAGAAACAAATAAACCTTATTTTTTACCAATAATCTGAAATAATTGAAACGTAATTTTCACGATTATTTACCATTAGAAAAAATGAAGGAATTTTATCATGTATAGAAGTTATTTCAATTAAATATTTTTCTTTTCCAAATTCATTAACAAAATATTGAACTTTAAATTGTCAAACCGGACAATTTTGATAACAGTTATACAGGGTGTTTACAGTCTTGGAGTTGAAAATTGACCTAGTAATAGAAGAGTACAGAAATACTCTAACCGAGAAAAAAAACTAACACAATTGTTATTATCAAGAATGTTATTTAACTCCAAATTATTGGTACACGGTTTGAGGGTCACTGGAATTATTTCCTTGTTCAGATAAAATTGTATTGATGCAACAGATAAAAAAATCGTATCCATGACAATGAAAGAGAAAAGTCACTTTATAGTTTTGTCACTGTCATCATTTGATTTGCTTTTGTTTTAGTTTTTATCAAAATTCCAAGATCTTCTGTTTAATGTCTTTCAGCGAATGGTTTCCAATAGGTTTGATTCGTTTTTCTTAATTTTTCTCCAAATTTATAAACATGTAAGGCAAAATATTAAACTAATAAATTGGTTGTCGTGATTATGATTTACGGTGAAACACAAGGTAATGAGACTAATGACTAATTGTTGCAGCCGAAGCAGCAGTTCTCAAACAAATAGTGTAAAATGAATAA